TTGTGTGTGTGTGTGTGTGGATGCTTGTGTGTGTGTGTGTGTGTGGATGCTTGTGTGTGTGTGCTTGTGCACGTTGCCAAGTTCACTGAAAATAACAGCACAGCAAAGAAAAATATGACTGCGATAAACAATCTCGCCATATATCCTTGTGTGTGTGTGTGTGTGTGTGTGTGTGTGTGTGTGTGTGTGTGTGTGTGTGCACGCGCTTGTGTGTGTGTGCTTGCGTGTGCGTGCTTGTGTGTGTGTGCTTGTGTGTGTGTGCTTGTGTGTGTGTGCTTGTGTGTGGGTGCTTGTGTGTGGGTGTGTGCTTGTGCACGTTGCCAGGTTCACTGAAAATAACACCACAGCGATAAACAATGTCGCCAGATTTTCACCAGCCCATCAGGAGGTTGACCCTCAACAGTCTCTTCAAGATGCATATGACTGATGCATCCTGAACCGACTGTCTTTGCAACTGATGTATTCAGAATTCGGGACAAACAATCTTCCCTTGCACCACAAGAGCGATACCGTTGAGAAGCAAGCTGAGAGAAGCATGCTCACTCTGCTCACACCACGAACCTCCCTTCCACTCCTATACACAGACTGTCCAAGAAGGAAGGTTGTTGGTTTTGCTTAAACCCCTGCCTGAGAAGAAGAAAAGTAAATCTGGGATGCTACCGTCTTCACCCGAATGGAACGCCCGGTCATTATAGCTGATCTGGAGCGAAAAGTGCACCAAATGCGGCTACAACGACCGGGCGTTCTATTCGGGTGAGGATGGTAGCGCCTTCCCACGAATAGAAGGTACGGTCATTATTGCTGTATTAGGGGGCAATTTTCGGTCTAGAGATAGCGATAAACACCGGGCGTTCTACTCGGGTTAAAGCACTAGTACCTCCGCCAGTGTTGGGACAATAGGGAAACCTGGCACTTTTCCCAAACTACTAAAAAATCAGCGGACGGGCGCGACGACGGTTGCCATTGATAAATCTCATCGGCAGGCCATCGCTTCATTTCGGCATCCTAAAACGTGGGAGGCCCATTCGAGGCCCGCTATTTTCCCACTCGGCAAAGGTACAAGTGGCTTATGATGGTAAGACCATCAACAACCATAGAACCCACTCCATACGCCAATTGACCGATGACTAACACTGCGTTGTGTATTCCGTAAATCCTAAACTGCACAAAGAAGGGCCCTGTCTCTTATACACATCTAGATGTGTATAAGAGACAGGAGAGAGAGAGAGAGAGAGAGAGAGAGAGAGAGAGAGAGAGATGACGGGAATGCAGGAGAGGGAGGGAGTAGACATGGGCTTGAGCGTGATGGTCCATCGGGACCAATTGAAAAGAAGGAAAAAAGTGGAAAATCTGCAAGCGTGTGCGCGCACCAGAGAGAGAGAGTCCATCAATTTCTTGGCAAACATTCCTTTTTCATTGCGGGCGTAGCCGCAACAGGTCCCCCAGTAATACTATTATTGCAACTAGTATACATTGTCACATAACTATATGAACTAAAAGAGCGCACTTTAACAGCCAAAACATGAAGAGCACAATGAAACCATTCATTTTTCCCATTGTTTCTTTCAACTCCCCCTTCACCGTGCCTCTCACGTAGAATGCTCGCCACATTGATTTGATGAAGTTGAGCGCTAGCTGGCCGCATCCCCGTGTGCCATAACGGCCCACGTGTATGCTGTGAGAAAGAGGCAGAGTAAAGGGGGAGGTGATAAACCAGGGAAGAGAGATGAAGAGAAGACAAACAAAGAACGAAAAAAGGAAAGTAGGGGAAAGTACAGAGCGTGGAATGAAGATGAAGGCAAAAGGAGAGGATAAGAAAAGGCTCAAGAATGAGTCTGTCCTTGACGACAGAGAGGACACACATTGTAAGAATGAAGTGGATGAGCACATGGAAGACCAACATGGCTGAGCATTCTCAGTACAACAATTGCCACGACAGCTGGCATTGAGCATGCCCACCGTACACTCCCGACAAGTGGCATGTCCATTGCAGGCCAATATGTCGGAAGAACACTCACCGCAAAAGACCATGCATTCAGTATAGCGCCCATGGCCACAAAATGGACATATAGTGTCCAGATGCGGAGGGTGCCTGCAGTCAGGAAAGGAGGGACAGTGCTCTACACACACATGGATGCAGAAGCCATGTCATTGTAGTGATCGTGACAGAGACGATGATGGCGTCGACAGCCGAGTGTAATGTGTGTCTGTAGCTGTGCAAAGGCGAAGGTACATTGTCCTGCTGCAGCATGGGGCCAGAGGAATGATCTTCGAGACTTCGACATAAAAGAGATTGCGGACAGTTTTGGTGTGGCAATACAACAGCATCCCGTAAGAAATCCGTAACATCAGTCATGGCATGGACCATGATGCGTTTGTCCCACAACTCCCAGTGGTCAGAGGCATGCGTACAAAGGCCATTAAATGGGCCAGGTCCGCGCACAATGCAGGCAGAGATGTGGGATGGAGAATGAAACCACTCACCTGCTCGAGCATTGTGTAGTTCAAGTTGGTGGTCCCTCATTGCTACTTGTAGCATTGTGTAGTTCAAGTTGGTGGTCCCTCATTGCTACTTGTAGGACAGCAATGGTAAAGCCTCTTTCCCTGCTATAATTACAACCCTCTGGCTGTAGGTGGGGCAGATCAGCATCAAGCTGAAGGGCGATTGCGAGGAAGTCTGACGGCGAATAAAACGGGTGGTGGAGAATGTGAAGACAGATATTAGTTGCAGTCAGATCACAGAGATTGGTGAGGATCTCAGGCTGGTGTGCGGGATGCTGGCCAACAATTTGCAGATCACCCAGAGGGTGCTGCAAGCCCACAATGTCTTGGGTTGTTTGCTGGTCAGTCATTTGCAGATCACCCATGTGGTCTGCGCGCGGTCGGGCCTCAAATTAGTGGTTCATTCAAACGATACTGGTCAGCCATTTGCGGATCCCCAAAATGGTCTACGCAGATCCCCCATGTGGGGTTAACTTGAATCCCGGCAGATCATGTTCCAATCCCTCAACGTTTGGGGCCGCATCCTGAGTAGGGACTGTCCCAGGAATCGGGAATGTAGTCTGGGCAGGGACCACATCCTGTTGTGCAGGTGAGTCGTGAATATGTCGTGGCTGCCTGCAGGCCGCTGGACTGTCTACAGGAGGAATAGGAGCGGATATTGTCACTTGGAGCAAAGGAACCGCAACAACTTGTGGAGCAGGCACAGCGAGAATTGGGGCAGACAAAGATCCCGGACAAGTGACGATGCCGCGCATGTCATCGACGATACACAATATGAGGAGGAGTGGTGTTGCAAACAGAAGATGGCGGAGAATCTGTTCGCAAGCATGATATATAATAACTAACTCAAGTGCCACTTTCATTGATACTAAGATCGGATTAAGGGGTAGAAAGCCAATTTGTACTTCAAGCTAAGGGGTGCCATCAAAGGTGGACTGTTGCCAGCGAGGTGTTTTCTGTATGTGGTTGTGCTGTCCCTCGTCGCCGATTTCGACACAGTCCTTGTTGCTGCTTAAGCGATGAATACTTTGCCAGTGCACGAGAAGGCTAACAGGCCGCAACTGTAACAGCCCGGGGGCCTCCCTGCAAATAAGTAGCGACGCCAACCTGACCATCGGAACCCAATCACAATGGTTCAAGTCTGCTGCCACCAATGCTTTTTTTTAAGGCCGGCAGTCTCCAAGGTCGGTGGAAAATGAAGATCAGTAGAATAGGTTTAGATGTTGCAGATTTCAACCATACCAATCATTTCGTTGCGAGAGAGCCGGGAAATTACCATTACCTGCTCCCGGTTTGACGATGTTTTCAACTATTGTCTTTTCTTTTCCACTTATTCTCTTTCTACGTCTACTTTCCCACAAGCTTCCACACCTTAATGTGATCAAATGGTTGACATAGACTTCCCCCCCCCCCCCCCCCCCCCCCCCCCCCCCCCCCCCCCCTCCCCCTCCTCTTCCCCATCCCCTTCACCCTCCCCCTCGACGTGTTTTGAATTATTGTCCTTTCTTGTGAACTTATACTCTCTATACATCGTCTACTTTCCACAAGCTTTGCCACCTAGTGTGATCAGATGGTTGAAATAGAGACCTCCCCCTCCCCCTACCCTTCCCCCTCTCCCTACCCTTCCCCCTCCCCCTACCCCACCCTTCCCGCTCTGTAAGCACAGTCAGGAATATATTTATATCTGCTAGTAGTCTTTAGTGCTTCTACAACAAAGAAAGAAAAGATGGTAACCTTATCCACCTTCTTCCCCCAAAATACAAGGTACGGTCATTATAACCGCACTTATGGACTGAAAGATACCCCCAAAACAGCTATAATGACCATACGTTGTATTCGGGGGAAGAAGGTAGTGTGGATGATGTTCTAGACTGAGGTGTGATGGGAACCACAAGAGGACGACTACGACGACGACGACGACGAAGAAGAAGAAGAAGAAGAAGAAGAAGAAGAAGAAGAAGAAGAAGAAGAAGAGGAGGAGGAGGAGGAGGAGGAGTTCTGTTAGGAGGGGAGAGAGAGAGAAATGCAGCAATAATTCAAAAAAAAGAAAAAACAAATCCCCTGAAAGGCACTCATACGCCCAACAGACAAACAAATGACATTGGAAGAGAAACGGTGGGGAACAAGACACACAGTTGGTTACTTACCTCCTTGTCATTACCAGCCTGGCTGTGGGCTTCCTCTAACTTCTCGACATCCTCTTCTTCATTATTGTCGATATTCCATTCCTCCTGAAAAGAGGAAAAAAGAAGGCACAAGAAGGAAAAGTAAAACTTTTGGTTCGAACAGATCAAGACTCTGGCATTGAGGCCCGAGATAGCAGAGAAGGAACAAGAGGGAAACGAAAAACTTCTGGCACAAACAGAGCAAGACTCTGACTTAAAGGAACAACATAGGTAAAGGTGCACCGACAATTTGCAGCAAGGAGGCTGCCGCTTACTCCGGTTGCGTTTTGTCGTGTAGCGAAACTTTCCTAATATGGTGCGTCGTGCAGGTGGATTCAGTGTCGAAGTGGGGTTTTGGGTGTCGTTTCGGGGGCCGAAGTAGACAGAAATAAGGGTGATAATAATTAAAAAAAAAAAGAAATAAGGGTGATGGTCTAAGACCGGTAGGAGGGTCAATACAGATATCTTTAGAAAACCTTGAGCTCAGATAAGCCTGATCCATAACAGCAAGTCCAAGCTTGCTGCAAATCTTTCCAGCATCCAGCTGCGAGGTCGACACACACATACTGAAGGACCACCTTGCACAAATCTACACCACACACAGAGTTTGCGTGTGTGTGGTGTAGATTTGCACCACAACAGCCCCTGCTCCACCCAGATGAGTAGATCCAAAATCAAAGCAGCTTTAGTCCTATTGCAGACAATGAAGCACACTAAGAAATGAACCAATAAAACAATGAAACAGTTTTACCTCTATAGCAAACAACATGGAGCAGAATAGATCCGTTATATCCCTTTTTCGACTATCTCTACTCTGGCTTTCTTTGGGGTACCCTTTTTTTTTTTAACTAACCTATATTCTTCTCTCAATATGCCTCCCACTACCTACCTACCTAGGCTGGAATGATACACTCTTCATGTATGGACCACAAACCAGCTACGCTAAGGGTTATGGGTTGAACCTTCCACCCATCACCGGGAGTTAGGCTCAACCCCGAGGGGATTGGGGTACCCTTTTATTTGTTCTTGTGGCTCCCTTTTTACTGTGCCTCTCACGTGCAAGGCTGCCGTCTTCACCCGAATAGAACGCCCGTTCATTATCGCTGCATCTGGACAGAATTCTGCGCCAAATACAGCTATAATGACTGGGCGTTCCGTTCGGGAGAAGACAGTAGTCACGTTGATTGTGGTTGAGCACCAGCTGCCCACATCCCCATGTGCCATAACGACCCACTTGCACGTTGTGAAAGGAGGCAGAGTGCAAGGGGGGGGAGGTAAACTCATGTTCATTTTTCTTCAGACCTTCAGCATATATTTTGTCTGTCGTCTTAATGATCCTCATTCGTGTGCATTTACAAGTAGCACAGAAAGAGGAGGGAGGAAGGAAAGGGCCAGGAGGTGGAGTTCTTAGGGAGGAAGGGGGGTGGGGGGAGAGAGAGGACGGAAGTGGAGGGGAAAAGAACAGAGCAGAGGAACGATGAACTTCACAAGATTCTCAATACTCACCGCTGGAGCCGACTACTCTAGAATGGCACAAAAGGCCAGTCAGCATTTGGTTCGCAGGAAATTTTGAGTTCAGGAGCTGCCATTGCCTATGGTAAGTGGCCACCCTTACAGACCGAACGGAGCCAGTTCTGGTGTGGACTGTGGGAGCACCACATCCAATTCTCGCAGTTGAAGTTGCTGCATCGGATGGCACGGCGTAGACCGATGCCACAGGCTACGTGGTTCCTACATGCTAGGAACACACAGGCATATCGACCGCAATTATAGAGGCGTTGCCGTTCCACCCTCTGTCTACAAGTTGGACATGACATGTCAGGGCGTCGTACGTGAGTGCATTGTTGACTGTCATCATACGCATGAAAACAAAAACTTGCATGGGCTATGCCCTAGCTCAGTTGGTACACCCCTGAACTGTCGAGATCCGGATCCAAGCTCAAAGCTCAAAGTTCACTGCAAGCAGATGAGTGTAATTCTGAGTTACCAAGGGCCGGTCGGTTCAATGATGGCATCTCAAGGCCGTCACCCTTTTTTTTTCAAAAAAAAGGAAGGGGAAAAAAAAAATCTTCACGACACAAAGCATGGGAATAACATGCTAGCCGAATCTCACGTGGGCCATCACAGTTCAGCATTGAGCAAGTTTCCTGAGTTTCCAGCAACTTTCCACAGTCATTATTCCCTCTCTATGGGCAGGGGCCGACAGGGACTGATCCACAGTAAGGGGGTACTAAGGGGTGTTCAGCTGTTGCAAGATTCAGTCTGCAACAGCTCGCCCTGGCGGCGATGAACTCTCACTACAGCGCAGTGTATGTGGTTCATGTGAGAGTCTATTTTCCACCTCAGGCTGCTGTGCTTGTTGTTTATCTGGCAAGGACGAAGGAGATCCGACTGCGGGTGCAGCAAGAGTATGCCCAACGCTGCATGCCAGACATGACAGGAGAGGGTGTGGCAGGTGATGGGCATCGGGGTTAGTTGATGCAGAAGAGACACATACTTTAAATGACATCTTCCCGGAAACATTGACAACACATGGCATGTTGCTGACACGCCAGCACAAAGGCAGGCTGACGTCTGTGTGTGTGTGTGTGTGTGTGTGTGTGTGTGTGTGTGTGTGTGTGTGTGTGTGTGTGTGTGTGTGTGTGTGTGTGTGTGTG